AAGTGACATTTGCCTTTATTCTTTGATTTAGTATCCCTACTTCCTGGAATCTGTTCCCAGAATAAGAAATAACTCGTTCCCACAGTTATTCTTCACAGCACTCCTTGTGAAAACAAAACACTGGAAACAACCCAAAAGTTCCTTCAGAGTGGGCCTGGATGAATAACCGAGAAAACAGCCTATGAGCATTTTGCTCATTTATAAAGACTATAATAATATAGAAAATGTCTTTACATTACTTCAGGGTACTTTTAAAATTTCCTGTTTAAAAAAAACAGAAGGTGGCCCTAATCGGTTTGGCTCTAGTGTCGGCCTGCGGACTGAAAGGTCCCAGGTTTGATTCCAGTCAAGGGCATGTACCTTGGTTGAGGGGGGTGTGCAGGAGGCAGCTGATTGATGTTTCTCTCTCTCTCATCGATGTTTCTGACTCTCTGTCCTTCTCCCTTCATCCCTGTAAAAAATCAATAAAATATATTAAAAAACAAACAAACAAACAAAAAAAACAGAAGGTGGTATACAAGAGTATATATAACATTCTAGTTTTTGGGAAAGAAAGGGAGTGTGGAGACACACATACACAAACATCTCCCAACCAGTCAATAGCAGTGAATATCTAAAGGACCCAAATTGTGACCTTTATCGTTTTCCACAAACACAAGTTTATATTTTCAAAAAGAAATAATGGGGGGGAGGGGGGTGATGGTGAACTAAAAAGGAATGAAAAGGGTTACTTATAGGAAAATGGATGGAATAGAAAGAAGAAAAGGGACCGGGTTGGGTAATACTTTTGGTTGTACTTTGTTTTTATAGTTTTGACTTTGGAACCACATAAATATTTTAAAAATTCAATCTTAAAATAAAAAATAAAACTAAAAAGCAAAAGCAGCCTGAAAAAATGAACCTAGCTATATATTTAGATGGTGTCGTAATCAGAGAGGGATTATTTAATTAATTTAAAAGTCAGTATTTTGTGCATTTCTTGTGGAATATATTTTAGAGACAAGAATAATCACAAAGAGATTTTAACCTACATTTAGTAATCTTATTTTTAATAATATTGGCATTGTTTTCGGAGAAATATGTGGATAGCCTTTCTCCACAGTGGGAGTGGGGTTCTTGGAGTGCTCCTGCTGGAATAGCATTTCCAGAGGCACTCACAGGAGGATGAGATGTGGTAGAAAGCTTTATTTGGTTGGAATTATACCCCTCTGTTTCCAAAGTCCCATTCCCTTAATCCAGTCCTGGGTAATGTGCAGCTGAGGATTCAGTAGAGCTGGAAGCAAAGCCAGTGTCCAGAGTTTCTGTTCCATGTTGGAGCTGGGTCTGGTTTTGCATGAGGCTAGTTGCAGTCCAATAGTCCAATGTGTGTGTGGTCCACCTGGCCATGGACCATGTGGACAAATGCAGGACCGACCATGAGAGTCCTGCAAGCCAGGAGCAGGAACCAAGAAGCAAGAGAGCAAACTCCTTTGCTTAGGAGCTTAGATATCTCAAATCTTCCTATGCTTGCAGTGGCCACACCTATCCCGGCCAATGACCTGTCCCCAGGTGTGACTGACAGGCAAGTAAGTCCCTTCCCTATGTACCCAGACTTTATTGGGCATGCCTCTAATATTTGGCCTTTCCTTTGCCCCTTTCCAGTTACTCATAAGAGTACATTGCAACTAGTTAATTACAACGATATCATTATTCTTGTGTTGAAATTTATATATATTGTAGGACTAGAGGCCCGGTGCATGAAATTCATGCACGGGAGCCGGTCCCCTCAGCACAGCCTGCACCCTCTCCAATCTGGGATCCTTTGGGGGATGTCCAACTGCCGGTCTAGGCCTGATCCCGGGGATCTGGCCTAAACCGGCAGTCGGACATCCCTCTTACAATCCTGGACCACTGGCTCCTAATTGCTCACCTGCCTGCCTGCGTGGTTGCCCCTAACTGCCGCCCTGCCAGCCTGATTGTCATTTGCTCACTGCCCCCCCTGCCAGCCAGGTTGCCCCCTACTGCCCCCTCATGCTGGCTTGGTCACTCCTAACTGCCCCCTTGCTGGCCTGGTCACCCCCAACTGCCCCACTCTGCTGGCCTGGTCACCCCTAACTCCCCTTGCTGCTGGCCTGATCACCCCCAACTGCCAACCCTCTGCTAGTATAGTCCCTCAATGCCCCCTCTGCTGGCCAGGTTGCCCCCAACTGCCCCCTCATGCTGGCCTGGTCACCCCCAATTGCC